AATTTCGTACATTCTCAGCTAACATTTCAAAAGATCAATGCTTTAGTCGAGGCGTAACTTCTGTTGATTCGAACACGACCAGCAAGCAGTTCTGGCCACGACTGTCTTACGATTAGTCAAACTATAATGGCTTTTTGAATAATGTCTTCGTCAAAATGCAAAAGTAAGTATGCTGCGCATGAATCAATCCAGTAACATTTTTCAACTTCGATAAAACTTTATTTCGGGAAAACGAATTTCTTAGATTTCTAGAATCCGACTGAATAATTCGGCACCTGTAGCTTTCTGGAGGCTCCATCCATTCCTCAGTGGGTACCACAGTGGCCTGATATTCGTCTCCTTCGCGAGTCCTCCCTGTTTCTGAATATTTCAAAACCATCGAATATTATAACTGATTATTACCCATTACTATCATTTGAATGTCTTCACCGGTTCATATATTCAATAATTATTAAAATCAATGCTCAATTCAGATCAACAGCGAAGTGCTTCAGGAAGAAACGCACTGATGATGAAAGCATTGGTTTAGAAATCAGCAATTCGATGGCAAGAAGCTTGTGCAGATATAATGAATGTTCTCTATCAAGAAATAATGGAATGGTCATATCGATAGTACCTTCTGATTTGATTTTTTTGGCTGTTAAGTACGATGTGGATGCATCATCTGTAGATCCATCGTTTGAATTTGAACCTACAATTATGGAATTATTCGCTTTGTATAAAGCTTTTCCCAGCTAACATCGATTCTGTCAGCAAAATCATGAATGAAGCAAATTTTTTGACTTCCGAATCATTTATCTGCCGACAGTAACTATACCGTTTCGGCTTCTGCTCAAGTTTGCAGCTGTGGATAATAGAAACTTTATGATTTTATCGGTATTAGAATTGCACTTCGTCGTCGTTCACGACAGTAAGGCCAGTGTGTGACGAGCAAACGAATACCTTTCGGATCGAACGGATCATCACGACGTGGTGCTTGCCCAGCTTTACGTTGTGAACGTCGAACCTAAGCAAAACAGAAAATTTATCAAAATTCAGCCCAATTTCAAAAAAAATTTCAACTAGTACAATGGTTGTCATTCAATCGAATTCAAAACATTACAGACATAATATCAATGGGATCTTTTTTTGCGTAATACCTAAGGTAATTCGTGCCGATTTACGTACGAATAGTGGTGGAACTCAAAAATCCAAATTTTATTGGACAGATTCAAATTGCACTCATTGTCAGCCATTTTATGAGAGGCTTTATGAAGCGATAGACTTCTGATGGAACCAGTAACAATAAAGAAAAAAGTAGTTATAAAGCGGCTGTACTACCTCTTTACAACTGGTATTGTCCTTGAGTGATGTGGAGGATTTTTGTTGTTGTGACTGGTGCTGAGGTTTAAGTTTGTGAGTGCTATG